GTAAGTCAATCGATAAATTACATACTATTTTACTTTGATAAGAATATATTCCATTGCAGTGATTCTCAATCCTTCGTGCCATTTTTCTTCTTTTCTTTTTTTTTTCTTCTTTTTTTTTTTCCTCTTTTTTTCCTTTTATTTGAAATAATGCCTGAAAATGCCTTTGTTACTTCTTTTTTTTGTCACTGTTTGTGTTTATATATATATATGTATGTATGTATGTATGTATGTATGTATGTATGTATGTATGTATGTATATGTATGTGTACAATGCATTTGTATGATAATATAAACGATTTAATAATAAATTTTGTCAAAGTATCATCAAACGTTTTATCATCTCTTTTCACATATTGAGAATCTTTACTCTAAAGAGTCAAAATGAATGAGAGGTGGAGAGAAAGAGAGAGAGAGAGAGAGAGAGAGAGAGAAATAGACATAATAATAAATTCTCATCTAAAATGTATTTAATATTGAAAGATGATAATAAAAGTTGTCTGTCATTTTGTGATGTTAAAAGACATATTTTTTCAAACGCGATAGTTACGATTTTTAAATTACATAAAAAATTTTTTTTTCGTGAATAATTATATACACATACATGTGTATGTATGTATATATATGTATATATATATATATATACATATATAAATATCAAAATTTTTTCTGCGTTTATCTCGACATAAAAAAAATTATTTGATAAATGATATGAATTCAATTGTATTAAAAAAATAAAATAAAAATATAATTGTATATATATATATATATATATATATGAGGTACTTTTTTACATTCTTTTTTATTTTTATTTTAATTTTATTTTTTCGCTCTTATTCATTAAAGTACCAAGTAAGAAAGAGAGAGAGAGAGAGAGAGAGAGGTACGACAAGTTATTTTCCTTTCATTTACTCGAGCTTTAATTATATTTCATAATTTTGAAATAGAATTTATAAACGGTTAGTTGTACGTTTATCTTGAATATCACGAAATAGATACGAGATATACACGTGGTGTACTAAATTTTGTGGGATTTGATTAAAAAAAAAAAAAAAAAAAAAAAAAAAAAAAAAAAAAAAAAAAAAAAAAAAAAAAAAATGTCCTCTTTTTTCCTTGTTCTTCTTCACGTTGTTATTAATGTACTTTAATCTTCTTTCTTTCTTTTTTTTTTTCTTTTTTCATTTCATTTCACTTCATTTCATTTTATTTTATTTATATTTATTTATACTTATTTATATTTTTTATTTATATTTTATTTATACTTATATTTTTCTTTTTCAATTAATTCTTCATTCTTGCTCCTTTTGCTCTTTGTTGTCCACGTAGGTAATAAAAATATATATATATATATATATATAATATTATGACGATAGTTAAAGTAACTCATATACAATAATAAATCTCGATGAGAAAGAAAACGTATGCCTGAGATCTCCGTTGTGTCCTGAGATTGTGTAAAAGTCGAATTGCTGAGAGGCAACTCGTGTCTCATCTTGGCAGTCATCCCACCGATATCCACCGACTGCAGTGGAATGAGCGGGGATTTGGAAATTAATAAAAAAAGAAAATAAAGAAGAAAAAAAAAAGAAAGGAAAGAGAAAAAAACGAGAGAAAAGGAAAGGGGAAGAAGAAGAGGAGAAGAAAAAAAAAAGATTGAAAAAAGGAGGGAGAGGAGAAAATACGGACGAAAAGAAAAAATCGTAAAAAAAGAAAGTAAAAGAGGAGATGAGCAGTGGGAAGAGGTGTTGCGGGGTAGGGGGGAGAGGGATGTGAAAATGAAAAAAGCGTTCTGTTTGATAGAAAGAGGAAAAGAGACAGAGAGACAGAGAGAGAGAGAGAGAGAGAGAGAGAGACAGAGAAAGAGAGAGTGTGTGTGTATGTGTGTGTACATGAAGGACAGAAAAGGATGAATGAACTGTAAAAGAGAGAAAGAGAGAGAGAGAAAGAGAGAGAGAGAAGGAAGATAAGGTATGCCGATAAAAGTTATAAGAGGTTACTTTTCATATTTATCAAGCTAACCTTCACATTTTTACCTATGATATTAAACTATGCTGTTATACTTTTTATTTTATTTTTTCTTTCTTTCTTATTTTCTTTTTATATCTATCTATCTATCTATATATATATATATATAATATATGTGATGATATTATATATATCTGATAAAAAATATGATTGTCATTTACATATATCCAAATTAATATTTTATTTTGTTATTAATATCACATATGAATACATAAATACAATAAATTATATTTTATTTCTCTCGTTCTCTCTCTCTCTCTCTCTCTCTCCCTCTTTTATTAATTTTAATCTCTCTTTCTATTTTATTATTTAAAAAAGTTTCCTTCTCGAAGAGTCAGTCACGTTGTCATTTAAATTTGATTTATCACGTGACGTTTATAAAAAACAATATTTAATTCAATCTCTTCATAATATTCTTTTAAATTTAATAACAACGTTGGATAAACAGAGATAGAGATAGAGATAGAGAAAGAGAGAGAGAGAGAGAGAGAGAGAGAGAGAGAGAGAGATATTTATGATGGGCCTCTTTTTTAACGGGTATAAATTTCCTATGATAACTATAAAATTCAGCTATATTATCAGTCATATTGTCCCTTAAACCGAATGCATCTTATACCCGACTGAGCTTTCACTCAACTGAAAAGACTAAAAAACTATATCTCTCTCTCTCTCTCTCTCTCTCTCTCTCTCTCAATCTCTCTTTCGTAGGTAAACGCGAGTAACATTGCAGCAGCCTCGTTTGTGTTTGCAAGTAGTGTCTAGGAAGACGAAAGAGAAATAGAGAAGAAAGAAAAGAAAAAAGAAAGATAGAACGATAGAGAGAGAGAGAGAGAGAGAGAGAGAGAGAGAGAGGAGGAGGAAGAATTTGCTTGCATTATTTAGACCTAAGAGAAGATAATGCTCATGGGGAAAGTACGGTTAATAGCTCTCATATTTTAGAATCTACGTGTTCTCTCTCTTACTCTCTCTTTCTCTTTATCTACATCTCTCTCTCTCTCTCTCTCTCTTTCTCTCTCTCTCCTTTTTTTTTCGTTCTACCTTCTTGCTCACCAATGTTATTGTCGGTGTTGCTGTTAGCGTTCTAAACAGAGTAAAAGAACTATAGTAACTAGAACTCAGTTCTTTTACCAGCCTGCTTTCATTCTCTCTCTCTCTCTCTCTCTCTCTCTCTCTCTCTCTCTCTCTTTCTTTCTTTCTCTTTTTATACTTTTTTTTCTGACCACTCGGTCTTTCTCTCACCCTCTCTCTCTCTCTCTCTCTCTCTCTCTCTCTCTCTCTCTCTCTTTCTATTTCTATCTTTCTTTTTTTTTTCACGCTAAGGGTGGTCCCAGGACCAAGCATAATAATTTTCATACCGCGACCCATGCAACGAGATTGCTTTTTAAGCGGTACTCTTACGGCACCCTATCTCGGTGCTTTCGCGATTAGGGGATTAATTATTCCACGGACATCACCATCACCAACACCACTACCACCACCACCACCACCACCACCACCACCACCATTACCATCACCATCACCATCACCACGTAGAAATTAGGTTCCTCCTGCGGGCTTGGATTGTCGCGATTCCCTTTCGCTCTAACCATCAACCTCCCCCCCTCTCTCCACAGCCCCACCCTCTTAGCCTCCTGCACCCCTCTTCCGTCCCTTTTCAACTTACTCACTTTTCTTTTCTTTACTTTTCGTTCTCTCGACTCTTTCGAGTAGTCTTCTCCTTTTCTATCACACGGTACGTTCCATTTTTTCTCTCTTACTCTCCTCTTTCTGATTTTTCTTGTCTTTTATTTTTCTTTTCTTTTTTTGAGAGAGATAAAAAAAAAAAAAGAATTGTTTCAGCCTTACCTTTTTTCATTTTCTTCTTTTTTTTTTTTCCTCTCTCTCTCTTTTTTTTTTTTATGAAAAAACAAAAGAAAAGAAGCATTATGTCTGCCTTATATTTTTGTTTTGTTTTCTTCTTCTTTTTTTTATGTTTTCTTTTCTTTTTCTTTTTCTTTTTTCTTTATGAGAAAGATAAGAAAAATTATTTCAGCTTTATTTCTTTTGTCCCCCTCTCCCTCCCACTCTCTCTCTCTCTCTCTCTCTCTCTCTCACACGCACACTCTTTTTTGTTTCTTCTTTTTCATCATCATCATCATCATCATCATCATCATCATCATCATCTCGTCCGTATCATCTCTTTATTTTTTTTTTTTATCCTTCTTCTTCTTTCTTTGTCGTCTTCTTCTTTACGAGAAAAAAAAAACAGGATAGATATATTGTCGAGATAAGAGAAACCAACCAACACGAATCGTTATCTGTCTGTTCTTTCTTTACCAATGGCAAGTCGGTAAGGTTGAAAGTAAGGTTGTGGAGGTTTATACGAGAGCCCGTAATCAGGAACCAACCTTAACGAAGAAATCAGAGGGGTGCTTAAATTGGACTCGAATCCAATTGAAATTCTATGTTCTTTCCTTCGGGCTTTTCCACCCCGATAACCCACCCTCTTTTCTCCCCTCTTACTTATTCCTCCCACATATCCCCCTGTAATATATCAACCATTTTATCTTATGCATATAAGATGTATCAAATTAAAATGTTGACCGTATTAAATTAGTTTCGAGAGATGTATTACATTAAAAATCCTATTATCCGATTTTCAATTAGGCTATTATTACAAATAGAAAAGGAGAAAGAAAAAGAAATGAAAAGAAGAAGAAGAAAAAAAGAAGAAGAAAAAGAAGAAACTATAGCAAGAAAAAAGATCTTTAGATCGTAGTGTTAGATAAGTTTAAGATATTCTTTTTTAGAGAGAAAGAGAGAGAGAGAGAGAGAGAGAGAGAAAAAGAAAAGTAAAAAAAAAATCATACTATTTCAATCGTACGAATGATAATTTTTATTCTATATCGTTCGTAGTTTTATCAAATGAAACCATTTGGTCAAAATAAATCAATCTTAATAATGCATTAATCAGTCTTATTAACTTACAACATTACGAT